CCTGGCTCTGTCCCTGTACGAGGAGGAGCCTGACTCCCCCCCCACACACACACACACCGACCTGGCTCTGTCCCTGTACGAGGAGGTGCCTGACTCCCCCGCACACACACACACCGACCTGGCTCTGTCCCTGTACGAGGAGGTGCCTGACCCCCCCACACACACACCCCGACCTGGCTCTGTCCCTGTATGAGGAGGTGCCCGGCGGCCCTCCCGACCCTGCCTGACTCTGAGCCCAGACCAGGTTCTGTGTCTGTAGGAAGAGGTGCCTGCCCCACACACCCCTGCCCAAAAAGGTTCTGTTCATGCACAAGGAAGTTCCTCCCTCCCCCCTTCTGTATCTGTAGAAGGAGGTGCCTGACCTCCCCAGCCCAGACCAGGTTCTGTTCCTGCACAAGGAAGTGCTTGCCCCCACACAGACCAAGTTCTGTCTCTGAATTAGGAGGTGCCTCCCAGCCCAGACCCGGTCCTGGCCCCATCGCTGATGCTTGATGTGCCCCAGCTCAGATCCAGTTCTGAACTAGGAGCTGTGCCTGTCTCCCTCCATGATTTCCCCCAGAACTCACATCTGTCCAGCTAGATACCACTTCCATTGGTCTAAAACCCTGTGCTAGCTAAGGAGATGCTTCAAGGGACCCAAGCTTGCCTCTGGCCTAGGAAATGCTTCTACTGCACTAATGTGTTTTTCATCAAGGGGCTTCTAAGCCCCTTTCTGCCCTAGGACTCAAAGCCACCTGGGTTTACACCTCCCTCACTGAGCTCTTTGGAGTATCAGCTTCCTCACATCCTTTCCCCATCCATCTTCTTAAATGGCAGGGAGGGATACTGCCTACCATACACTTAGGCTATGTCTGCACTCGAGGCTTCTTGCATGAAAAATATGCAAATGAGGCTAAGTGTGGAATAGCACCGAGCCCCATTTGAATATCTAATGAGCTGCCATTTTTGCAAAAGAAGCGCTTGCGCCAGAAGGAGCTGTCTACACTGCCCCTTCTTGCGCAAGAAAAACCCTCTTGCACAATGCTGTTATTCCTGAAAATAATTGCCATAGCAGCATTGCACAAGAGGGTTTTTCTTGTGCAAGAAGGGGTAGTGTAGACAGCTCCTTGTGGCGCAAGAGCTTCTTTTGCAAAAATGGCAGCTCATTAGGTATGCAAATGAGGTTCGGCAATATTCCACCCTTAGCCTCATTTGCATATTTCTCGTGCAAGAAGCCACGAGTGTAGACATAGCCATAGAGAGGATATTTCTGACATGAATCACAGAGAGGAACTTTTTTCTTGGAGATGATTTGGCTACAGAACCAGTAATCACTCCCCAAAATGCACCTCTACTCCTTCCTTGGATAACAAGAAAGAGCCCACCTGTTTTGGCCCCACAAGCCACCTGTGCCCAGGACTGAGAAGGTCCTTAAGTAATTATAGTAATCAGCTGATGCATTCAGTGCCTCTCACACTCAACGAGAAAAACTTGTACAGAATCCTTAGCTAACTTTCCTCAATAGTGTCCAACACTCTTAACTCCCCTTCCCAACCTACAAGGGACTTTAACCCCTCTTTCATCCACCTAGCTGCATCTGCTTGTGATCCAATCCCCCCAGAGAACCTGTCCCCTGCCCAAGCTGTCTCACACCAGAGGGCAGGAAGGATTCCAGGTATAAAGAGGTTTGCTGTGGGAGTCTGGGGGATTGCTTTTATCTCAGGCCAGACTCACCTGGCTATTTCAACAGCAAACCACCTAGTTCCTCCCAGTCGGCAGGCTCACATTGGATGAACAAACACAAGCACCACCCCAGAGCAATTTACAGAGGATCTCTCAGAGACAAATGGGCTGTGCAAGATGACAAATTATTTTGCACCCAAAACCCCAGCCCTTCAAATAAGCAAACCATCAGAATTTTCAACAAGGCTGTGTCTACATCGGCATGATCTTGCGCAAATACTCCTTAACGCAAGAGTTCTTGCATTAAAGTATTTGCGCAAGAGAGCGTCTACACTGGCATGTACCTTTGCACAAGAGATATGTTTTTGCGCAAGAGCATCAGTGCCAATGTAGACTCTCTCTTGGGCTACGTCTACACTGGCCCCTTCTTCGGAATAGGCATGCTAATTTAGAACTTTGGAATAGGGAAATGCGTGGGGGATTTAAATATCCCCCGCGGGATTTAAATAAACATGGCCGCCACTTTTTTTCCGGCTTGG